CCTTACCTATTAAGGGAGGGTTGTTGTAGATGCGCAGCAAGTTTCTTCCTAAACTATCCGGCGGCTCTTCAACGATTTTGATGGAATTCTGGATCTGCTCCAATGGAAACTCTGAACTATCACTACTGGTGAGGAAGAGCCGGAAGTTTTCGCAAGTATTTTCAAAATCCATGCTCTTCAGCAGTTGGTCCAGCTGAAACAGCCACTCGCCCGTATAGTGGCAGTTCTGCAGAAGAATCCAAGAACCAGATTTCCGGCCTTGTTCGATCAGTTCTTCGGTGTTTAAGCAGTTTGATTCGCTCAGGCTCAAGTGATGGAAATTTTGCAACTCTCCTTAATCAAGGCGAACTTTGGCACGATTTTTAGCACTTCCAGGCCGGGGGTTGGGATGAACATCGGCAGCAAGTTGGAGAATTCATCATTACTCAATCGTCGGTGCTTTTAGTCCCGTTTTGATCAACCACGGATAAGCGTCTTTTGCCTGCAGAGAAATACGCCATTGGAGCACCAAAACATCAAGTGGAAGCTCTCGATGCGAATTACCTTGTTATAGTAAAGCATCCCAAATATCGCCATAAACATTCCCAGCACATTCATGGAAGTTGCGGGGTTACCAAAAATAAAAAGGGACAGCAATCACAAATATTCGTTTGCTGCAATTGGCTACAGCGTACGTGAGGGGCGTAACCAAGTGAAGAACACTACAGCTTATGATGATCTGAAGGAAATTCAACACCCTATCCAGGACAATCAAACTGTAAAAAAATTGCTTCTTTCTGCACAAAATTGCCATTTTTTATATTTTTGCCTGGAACACAGGCAAACCTGAGTTAGCCCCCAAATGAATAAAACTTGGATCAATGATCCAGATCAAGCGCCCTGTTAAAACAGGTCAGTTTCGCATTCTGCCGCAATCCAGAAACCCCGCCAGCAAGAATACTCTAAAAAATAACCGACAGTTCAGCTTCAGCTGGAAACCTTAAGATAAACATGCGATAATAACAATCTGTGCATATTTTACCAAATAAAGTCGCACAATTAAGCAACGAGGTCAAAGGGCTAAAAATTACGCCAATCTGGCATCATTCAAGTGATGTTTATGGGGCAAAATTAAGTAGTATCAAACAATAAGTGTAATAAGTAATAATAAGTAATAATAACAAAACACACAAGTGTAGTGTTGGTCAGGGGCTCCAGTGTCAGGTAAAGAACCAGCTTGTTTTTGTGGAAATTGCATACATTTAATGGTGTGTGGAATCTCCAAAATGCGCCAAATATTCTGTTAGCTTATCTCCAGCTGGAAGCATTCAAGGTGTCTCAACATTTGCGTCTCCTGAGTTAACAACAGTTTTCTCGTACTGATCATTTTCTTGCAATGTACCTACTGCCGAATTTATGAATATTTGGAGATCTAGTTTCTGAATGTTCAGAAATTACGCGCAAAAAACCTAAAGAGAATCACATGCGACGCACTTTCGATAAAATTGTTCAAAGTTCGTCTCTTTGCTGCATAATCAACATTGCCCTAAGACCTTGCAAAACATATTCATCTCTAAAGGAAACCCCATTCATTGTCCTAAAGATTCTGACCGAATAGATTCTTGATTATGTAAAGACATTCACTAGAAAAATGCATAAAGCATCAAGGCATTTTTCCGTTGTAGGTCAGTTATCGGCGCCAAAATATTACTATATGCTGTAGCATTTTCTCCAAACAAACTTCAGGTATTTGCGGGCGAAAATGTGCGAAAGCAAATTGCAATCGGACTGCGCTTGTGTGACCAGCAAAAAAATCAACTTGGATGAGCCGCGCTATGATCAAGAGTTCTATTTGGGGCGGGCAAAGCACTTCTTCCAAACCACCAATCCCCGCAACTTGTTCGTGAGCAGTCGAAAACTCGACGAAGCCAAATGCTTGATTCAATCATACAAGTAATCCAGAAAATGCAATTTTTTGCCCTTCAAATCACCCAACTGTTCCAGATGCGGCGAAAAGTTGCCAAGTGGAACCGGTGAAGAGGATTTGTGGCGCGCCAAAATCCTTTACGACTCTGCCTTTCATCCCGACACTGGAGAAAAGATGGTGTTGCTGGGACGAATGTCTGCTAAAGTGCGTAGATAACTTTATGAACGGAACGGTGAATTCTCTGGTTTCACTCTTAAGTGTTGAAGAGCGCAATTTGAAAATTAACCACTAATACGCTCTTGCACTTGTCAATGAGTAGAATCTTATAGCGTTATTGAATGGATTTCAGGTTCCAATGCATATACTCATAACAGGCGGAATGATCACATTCTACAAAACAGCGCCAGCAGTGGTTTTCTGGCAATGGCTCAACCAGTCCTTCAACGCCCTGGTCAATTACACTAACAGAAGTGGCGACATCGTCCAAACAGACAAGTAGGCACACCGTCCTCTCCCATCGCCTGCAGACTAAA